AGTCCAAGAAAACGGCGCGCGAGTAAATGTCGTCGTTTCTCTTGTTCTTAAGACATACCTTCCCCATATTATTCTACAGTGACAATTCAGTACACATTATACAACGTTTATATGAATAAGGGGCACTTGAATTCACTAGACGCTTAAATACACGATTTGCACTTATGTTTATTTTCACTTCAGCCATCCTACAGGACTTGTAAAGCAATCGCATAGTCGAGAATAAAATATTTATTTATTTATTGTTCATTGTTCCCTTTTGGTTCATGCTTCCACTTGCGACACCTAATGTACTCACGTAGTTAGATACCTTTCAGATTACAGTAGTTTGTTTACCGGTGCGACCTTCTTACTTCGGCTAGTGCATTTGACTTTTCGTACACAATACTGTCGTCGCGGCTTACGAACCTGTGCCACGGGATTACATCCTAATTTACTGGTCTAATCAGACTTTACGTCCTACCGAAAGTGCACGGACCCAGTGAAAAACATTGTTTACACACTATCTTGACCTACTACCTGTGGCTTCTAACTACACAGAAGGCCAGAAACTGAAGCTTCTCAGATACCTGCTCGGAGATGATGGACAAAGTCAATTTGATGCTTTGGTGCTCCAGTTTCAAGATACCTTGACGAAATTACTAGATGTGTTGGACAAGTCTTGGGGTCAGCGTACAAACCTCTTCATGACTCACTTCAAATCTGGCTGACTTACACAAGAATCATCGGAAACGCTAGACAGTTTTGTTGATCTCCTCATTCGCGGTGTACGACCCTGCGATTATCCAACTATACCGAAAACTAGGATCGAGGGCGTCATGTTAGTGCAACAGTTGATTAATGGAATCACCAATAACCGAATTTGGGTATGCTTATTTTCCGAAGACGCTACCAAATTGACTTGGGATAAGGCTGTGTAATTAGCTCGCCTATAAAAATGTACGGTCAAACAGTTGTGATGTTTCATTACGCACGCATACATACAGGGGGTTGCCAAGATCCATCGCTCGCCAACCGAATTCCAATCCCCACAGAAATGCTTCCGCTGCGGCATCCTATGGCATAAAGCCAATTTTGCCAAGCACCCTGCCTTATAAATGGATTGCAAAAAGTTCGGTAAGCGTGGACATTTTGCCCACTTTTATCGTTCAGCAGTACGCATTTCTCATTCGCATCCAACAGATTCCGTTTCTACTCAGAAGTTACAGTAATCTGAAAATATATTTTCCATTGATAACAGATGTACTGTTTCTCACTATCGTCCTCTAGTCCAGAACCTAAACTCCCTATGCCTTACATTCGTACTGTTGCAGTTATTGTACGCGATAGAACAACACAGGTTGAGATAGAACTTGAATCAGCTTCTCCTGTTACTATAGTAACAAGTACTTTTTATGACAGTCACCTACATGACATGGTTATACATTCTTCAGCCTATCGATTTGACAGTTGTACAAATGCCCCGGTAGAAATACGAGGATTTGCGATTGTTTTGCAACTTGGGGCCGCGAAATCATCCGTTGCTGTGTACGTTACCCGCGAAAATAACCATCTATTACTCAGACCCAACGCTATGGTTGCACTGGGAGTCACGCCGTCCCTATCTCGTATGTGTATTAACCTATCAGACCTACAGATACAGTACCCGAAACTGTTTGAACAAACAATAAGGCGCACTCCTTCCTCCGTTCACCGCTTATGTCTGACTCATGATGCTAAGCCGGTAGCAGCTGCTCAGTCACGTCCAATTCCTTTGGTCAGAAGAGAGGCTGTTTCGTCAACATTGCGATAAATGATTGCATATACTCTCATTGAACTCATTAACTGTTCTGAATGGGTCCACTCTATGGTTACAGTCCTCAAAAAGGACGGTACAGTGAGAATATACAATGATCTGCAGGCCCTAAATCGTAAACTCGTAGTAAAAACAGTGTGCTTCCAACCGCAGATGAACTACTAGTTAAACTATCCGGCGCCCGATATTTTTCAAAATTGGACCTTAAGGAAGGCTTTCTTTCACATGCCTCTAATTCAGCAGTCAAGACCGCTAACTGCATTTCTTACAATGGACGGCGTCTTTTAGTCCAAAGTCCTGTCAATGCGCTTAAGTTCAGCCCCAGCAGCTTGGCAACAGTTTACGGTTCCCTCATTTGTCAATTTACCTGATCAAAGAGTCAAACATGGACATCTGTGTATTCGGTAGGTCTCCCGAAGAACATGATTCACGACTGCATGCTGTGTTACGTTGACTTCGTGATCTTAACCTCCGGTTAGATCCCGAGAAATGCAAATTTAATGCTGCTGAAATCGGGTTTTTGGGCCACATTATACCAACTGACGGTATGAAGCTGTGTCGACAACACGCATTTCACCCCCGATGCTCCTCGACCACAGAACTCCGCCGAAATAAAGCATTTTCTAAATATGTGTCCTGCAGGATTTCACGAACATTGCTAAGGCACTGCTTGAACTGACTAAGAAAAATTGTGTATTTGTTTGGCGAGATAAAACGCCGCATTGCCTCCACACCAGTCCTGGCGATTTTCGACGAGACTTGCCCCACGATTGTCTCTACTGATACATCAGACATTGGGTTGGCTGCTATACTATCACAATTTCAGAATGGGCATGAAAGTGTTATTGCATACGCTTCCAGAAAATTGTCGTCAGCAGAGCTTTCTTACTCTACCGGGAAATAAAAGCCCTTACCTGCGTTTGGGCCTGTGGGAAATGGAATTTGTTCTTGTACGGAAGACTCTTCGTACAGAACACGCAACGCTAACTAGCTAACCTTCTCGGGGAACAAATGGCATCAGGCCATTTTGGCTACATTGCTGGTATGCATGCTTGTTAACATACGATTTCCAAATAAAATTCCGTCCCGGGAGTGAAAATTAGACAGCGGATGGGCTCTTTCGACTGCTACTCAACGTAACTGAAAATAATGAGGATGACACGGATACTGGTGTCTTCCCTGATCAGTGAACTAATCTCAGCGCTGACTAAGGACGAATTCCAGAAAGCAACTCAGGAAGGCGACACTGCCGTGTTCTGGTGTTTCTGCTAAATGGTTAGCCACGAAATAACAAGATCACAGACGAGTTTCCTCTGTACTGCGTGTTGCGTCAGGAACTTTCCTTTATAGATGGATGTTTAATGGGCGGCGAGAAATTTGTGGCTCCCCGGAGCTTGATGCAGAAGATCATACTATGTGCTGACGAGCGCCACCCTGGTATTGTTCGTACGAAACGTAAGGTTGACGCATGCTTTTGGTGGCCCAGAATGTCACATGAAATAGAAAATCTTGTTTGTGACTGCTCTTCATGTCAAAGAGCAGACAAGAGTTCAAGGCTGGTTTCCTTCCCTAAACAACTCATTGACTATCCTATGCGACCGTGGGCCAAGATAGCTCTTGACATCATGCATTTCTTTAGCTCAGCGCCTCAGCATCAGAGGAATAGTTTGGTAGCGACATGCTTTTACATTAAATGGCCGGAAGTCCATTTGTCTGTAGAGGTGACTATTGCCAGCATTGTTCGATGGCTGAAATACATGTTCCCCCGTTTCGGACTACCAGAGAAGATAGTGACGGACAACGGCCCGCAGTTTACAATCCAGGAGTTTCTTTCGTTTCTTCAACTTCACGCCATCCGACTCTCACATACAACTTCGTATAATCCAGCAGCAAACGGCATAATAGAGCGTTTCAATCGATCCTTGAAAGAGAGTATCCAAACTATTCACTTATCTGGTACAGGTGGGAAGGATGCGGTTCTACAAGCACCATTTTCTTACCGAACCGCACATCACCGAGCCACAGACAAAACACCAGCTGAACTCATGCTTGGGCGTGCCCTTCGGACAAAGTTGAATGCCGCACTTCCGATTTCTTGCTACTAATAATTCCTATGAGTTAGATTGTCGCCATCGATATCATATCACTTATCGGAAGCTAACTACTCCGCTGCAGTCCGGAATTTCGTGCGATTGAACGCTGCGTCAAAAGGACAGCCCACGTTATCAGGTCCGATAAGAATAACGCGCGCATGTGGGCCAGGCACTTATCGGCTGAAAGATAGCCGCACAGTTAACGAGCGGAGGTTATTCCCAATTAGCAGACGAACGGAGCACGTGCCAACAACCTTCACTGACAAAACTACATAAAGCACGCTGCTACGCAGGACGGGCCGAAAACCAAGACCACCGAATCGATATGGTTTCGACGCATCACATGCTTAAGCGGAGAGTTGATGTTGTGTATACGTCCCGCGTGCTTGACGGCCGGTCTAGACAGACACGTGCATACAACCCAAGACACGCACATAAGTGCATATTTATATGCTTCCCTATTAGTTCATCCTTCTACTTGCGACACCTTATTGTACTCACATAGTTAGATACTCTTCGGATTACAGTAGTTTGTTTACCGGAGCGATCATGTTACTTCAGCTCGTGCATTTGACTTTTCGTACCCTATAGATAGCACAGTAGTTTGGATACTTTTAGTAACTTCTTATAATTAATTAATCCATCCGAGGTGACTGGTTTGGTTAACTTTCATCCTTGTTTAGTACGAGTTCTTGTTTTCACCTTCAGTTATCCACTATCGCACAACATCTATCTATTTATTATGGATCGCAATTGCACCATTCTCTCAGGGATACTATTAAGGTCTTGTGTCAATATTCCCATGCTATATTCCATGTACCACGTCAACATGTGCATTTAAATATTTCGGTGTCAGAAATACCCTAATAATCGCCTCGCATCACTTGACGTACCTTTAGAGTGTGTTTAGTTGCGAGCACAAAGTTTTTAGTGTCCCTTCACTATCCCCATACAAACTTGGTCATACGTAAGTGATATATCAGCTGGTACAGGCGTGTGCTATCTGCCTAATGACACTCGATTTGGCTAGATTCAGTCGATGTTTTGCGTCCTTTACCATTTACCTGTCAACACGTGATACTCGTTTAAGTGTGGTCGCACAAATAACTAACCAACTGGTTGGGAGGATATGTAACAACACCGGGTCGTACTTGTCTCTGCTTGTATAAAAGCTTGTGCCAAAGATATGTTTCTATTGCGCTGCAGTCCTTCCGTGATTCGATATAGAGGACCTCATAAGTATCCATCCTTTTGGCATTTAACTGGTAGCCATTTAGAATACCCTCAATGGTTTTGCTATTTGGACATCCATCCTTCGCTATTAGCAAAACAGGCCGTTGCTGTATTTTCGCCTCGATAAAATCGCTTGTCCTCATGCTGGAAACATCAAGTTGTAGTGACTTGCGACCCGGGTGAGGTACGCGACAAACTTTGAGTACTGCAAAAGAACAGAGAATGTGCACCATCCATTTGTTTAAAAATAATGGAGCTGTATACCACTGCAGAGCATGGAAAAGTAAGTGAAGTGCGTGAAAAGGCATGTATCGGTTATGGGTTGCATCCCCTGTAATGGACCGAAAAAATACATACCACTGACGAGCCCCTATAGGGTGAAACGATCGTCTTATACTTTTCCACCTTATTAGTTGACCTTTGTGGCTTGCAGTCTAATTACTACAAACCAAATGAACCTTGCCAACTCTGTCTACATATATATATATATATATATATATATATATATATATATATATATATATATATATATATATATATGTACCATCCCAACCATGGTGGTAGGGGAAGGAGAATATAATGTTCAACGAAGAGAGAGAGAGTAGAAGAAAGTAAAAGTTTGGAAACAAAAGTTTTCAGTTTCACACACGAGTCTTGAGTTTTTTTTGTTTTCATGTTTTGTCCAACATTAAAAAGTACAGGATGAAGAGATGGTAGCACATCATTGACGTCACTGACCCCTATCGCGGGCCATATCCTCCAAGACTTCCAACCATTTGGAATCCGCTTCACGTGGTTCCCAGCCTGAAACACAAGAAGTTAGGATCTGTATACGTCTTTCCAGGTCATCGGTTGTCCGCTGCGGCTCTTTTTCCATTAGGGTCCAGGAAGTGCAAATAATGCGCGGCATGCAAGGCGGTGAGCCGGCATAAGCAGTATGTGACCGAGCCAACGCAATCGGTGTTGGATGATTATGAGCTGGAGACCAGGACTGTCCGCTCCCATGATTCTGCTTCTAAATTCGCGTTGCTCACATGGTGCTGCCACCATATGCGAGCAATCGAACGCAAGCAGCGGTTGTCGAAAGCAGACAGTCGTCTCCAATCTTCCGATCGAACAGGCCATGTCTCGCAGCCCTAGAGTAGGACAGCACGGACTGTGGCATTGTACACTCGACCTTTGGGCTTGCGACTGACATCGCGACGACGCCACAAGTGTCTCAGGTTAGTAGATGCAAGCTGAGCTTTGGCAGTTCGTTGTGAAATTTCATCGCTAATACCGTCACCAGCCGTGATGTAACTCTTAAGGTAATTAAAGCTGTTAACGAGCCTAGGCACATGAGCCTGACAATCCTAGAGCAAAGCTTTACACTTGGATGGAGTAAAATACAGACCGTAGTTAGATGCCACTATCGCTAAGCGGTTTAGAATGTTTTGAACAACCTGCGAGTCGTCCCCCAGCAAAGCGATGTCATCAGCATAGTCCAGCTCCACGACTCTGATCCCGGGTAGAAACTCAACGCCGCGGCTCTGGGCTCTTTGCAGTGCGCGATGTAGGACATCTTCGATGACATAGTTGCACAGGAACGGCGAGATAAGACAACCTTGTCGCACTCCACTGGTAACAGGGAACGAAGAAGAAAGTCTTCCATAAGCTCTAACTTTGCCAGAGATTTGACTATACAGCTCCTTCAAGAGTATGACAACTTGTCGGGAACGCCGTTCCGTAGCAGACAGTTCCACAGTGATGACCTATCTACTGAATCGAAATCGGCTCGGATATCCAAAAATCCCACCATTGTTGGTCTTCGGTGGACTTGACGATGTTCGAGAATTTGATGCAACGTGAAAATTTGGTCAATGCAATCACGGTCAGAACGAAAGCCAGCCTGTTCCTCACGACAAACTCTCGCGGGTAACTGAGAGCCTACGCAACAGAAGGGACACAGAAAGCTTGGGTGTAATAGAGATAAGTGAGATTCCTCGGTAGTTGGTGCATTCACTACGAGAGCCCTTCTTGTGGATCGGAACCACAGCAGATTCTCCCCATGAGTTAGGAAACTTCTCATCGCTCCATACTTTTGTGAACAGTGATAGAATTTCGGTGACAACTAACTTCCCCGCATCTTTGAATAAGGCCGGTGGAAGACTGTCAATATCAGGAGTTTTGTGGCGTTTCAGAGTCTGGATTTCGCTCCCTATTCCTGCTTCAACGGGAGGATGTATACAGATTAACCAAGGATCACATAATGGCAGTGCATGTGCAACCGGAGGTTGTGTTGGGCAATTAAACTGCAGAGCAAAGTGCTCTGCCCAGCGATCCAGGTGTCTGCGTAGGTTGGTGATCTTTACTGTCTGACTCACAGATGGTCTGACTGATCTGAACTGAACTGAACTAGTCTGACTGGCCTGAACTTTGCGTCCGGTGGATCTGATGAGATAAAACAACCTGCGGCTATTACCAGCAGAGACAGTAATTTCCATTTCCTTGGCCTGTTTAGATCACCGGGATTCACAGTCACGGCAAAGACTCACTTTCAGTTGACTGGAAATAGAACGGCGGAGCTCAGCGTGCTCCACACTGACGGGTGTAGCTCGCCGATAGTCGAAAAGTTCCGCGGAGGTGGCCGAGATCCAACTTTTAATTGTGCAACGAACAAGACCGCAACTGGATAAACCCTCTGAAAATATAATCTGTTTCAATCGCGACCAATGCTGATCAACCTCCCAAGGAGGCGGAGAAGTGAGATTCTCACGAAGCTGCTTTTGATATTCTGATTGCACGGCGGGGTCTTCCAGTTTACCAGAGTTAACTCGAGTTTGTCTAGTCATCGGCCAGCCACCGAAACGCATGCAAACCGACGCGCGCACTAGCGCATTATTAGTTTCCACGCAGGTTGAAAAATGGGATCTGCAATCCCTTATACTGCCACGCCAGCAATGACTTATGGCGATGTAGTCAATCTGTGACGGAAGTTGTGGGGATGATGGAGCGTGCTAGATAGCGTAGTGACTACTAGGGTGTCGAAAGTTCGTGCTGGAGAGGTAAAGTTGGTGGACGGCACACAAACTGAGTAGTCTTTCACCAGTGTCTAAGCGAAAGTTGTCGTATCCATGCGGGCCTCCAAGACGGCGTTCGCTTGGTAACATACGACTAACACGCGAGTTGAAATCCCCCGCCATAATAATGATGTCCGTTTTAGGGGTCCTTAAGAGCAAATCATGAAGGTTTTGATAGAATTGGTCCTTGACGGTATCTGGGCTACAGTCAGTGGGAGCATAAGCGGAGATTACAAAAAGAGCGCGTTTATCTTCTGGACGCCTGTTGACCTTGCACGAGCCATGGAGCCTGACAGCACAAAGGCGACTGTTGATCAGAATCCATTCGAGAAGGGCGGCTTCGGCTCTGGCACTAAGGGCGACCCCAACACCAGCTTGCCCAGAAGTGGTAGAGTCGGCATCTCCAGAAAGTCGAAGGTGGAAACGGGTATACGGGGGAATTTGTGACGACAATGGGTAGACTGTGCTGGAATCCTGAAGTCGTGTTTCGGACAAACAACTGACATCAGTTGCAAGAGTTTCTAGAGTGCGCGCGAGACCGGTTTGTTGCCCAATTTGTTTAAAGGTGCGCACATTGAACGCCACCAAGTTGAACTCTCTTCGGTTGCAGAAGCGGAGTGGGGTGAATCAGGGACTGTTCAATCCCAGTTTGGCGCTGTGTGATTATGTCAGAGGATGGAGCAACAACAGTGATATCGGAGGAAGCGATGCTGCTCATCGTTGATTGATCAGACAAAAACGGGAAAGAATGATACATGGGAAGTGTAGATAAGCGAGTGGTGTGTGATGGAAGTGTTTGCAGTAGTAGCATGAGAGCAAAGCATCAGTAGAGCGAAGAGTGCAGTTTAGTTCCATGGTCCCTCAGTAGGCGAGGTACTACCTGGTTGCCTAGGCCGAAGTAGGGGGTTGACTTAGGCGGCCGCCACCCCGAGCCTTTGGCCCAATAGCCTACCCGCAACGCAGCGGGGCGAATTCAGGGTATCGCGCCCATTGGGAGCCGATGACCGATTACACAGTACATTCGCTTTTCGTTTGGTCAAGTACCAAACAGGGTCCCAATCCTCCCCACGATGACAGCAACTGGCAGCTGGAATACAATGCTGCACTGGAGTGAAACAAGGGGCAGTGACTTTATTTAGTGGCGAGTCACATCCGCCACCTCGCAGTGTTGTTAAACAGACATATGTGGTTTTTTATAGGGAGAACTCTTGCCAGGCGAAAACCCACCACGTCCTGGCACACTATAAATACATATATATATATATATATATATATATATATATATATATATATATACATATATATATATATATAATACACAATCTGTGGTACAGATATTGTGCCATCAGAATCATGGCTGAATAGGAAAACAATATGAATAATAAGAAAAGAGCAACAAGAAATGCTTTTTTGTCATGTTTACCACTCACAGTTTTTGAAAAGATTTTTCTGTTTGTTCTTTTTTAGGGGGAGGAAGAAGGGACACCGCCACACACTGATGCACACGTCCGCCATTGACATCGAGCTTGAGCCATAACTTCCAAGGTCTTCAATCAGCAAGTATCCTCATCCCTCGGACCCCAACCAGGTAGTCGACAACAACCGGCCGAGGCCAATTGTTTCGTCAACTTTTGCATGCGGCTTCTCCATGTTGTAGGCTATCCACCAGACCGTCTCTTCCAGCCCTGTCCAGCAAGTGCAAACTACGCACGACGGGGGTAACGCTGGACAGGCATGCACAATACGTGTCCCAACCACCGCAGTTGATGCAGTGAGATGAGCCCCTCGAGCGAGTGGCTTCCACGTCCCAAGACACGCTGTCTAACTTCCAAATTGCTTACGTGGTGCTGCCACCACACACGCTCAGTGGACCGCAGACAGCGGTGCTCGAAGACGGATAGCCTGCGCAAGTCATCTTTACGAATGGGCCAGGTCTCGCATCCGTACAACAGTACAGCGCGAACAGTTGCACAATAGACCCGCCCTTTAATGGAGAGACGAATGTCGTGGCGACGCCACAAATGCCTCAGCCTAGGAAAAGCGAGGCGTGCTCTCGAGATGCGCATCGAAATCTCGTCTACAACAGCCCCACCAGCAGTGATGCAACTTCCCAAGTAGACAAAGCTCTCCACAACCTCCAGTGTCT